ATAAAAGCTATATATGCACTTGATGCTCCCTGAAAATACAAGGTCATTAACAGTCACGAAGCCTGTTTAAAGTCTTACGTAAATGTTCTTATTTTAAGAGTTTTATTTAAATAATCCGTGCTCTGGAAAGGGGACGGAAGAACGGGAAGATGGGAAAGCCCACCTAGAAAACCGGAGACAGGGAATCTCGGCCAACCAGGCTTTGGCGTCCTCTCTGCTATTAACTAATCATTTTTTAAAATATTTAATCTTCCCAGTCATTAAGACGGTTTAGATAATTGTTAATCTGTTTCCTAGATAGCGGAGCTGGGTTTATCTTGGGTGGCTTTAAGACCGAGCTTGGTCCTGGAGGTCTGGAGGTTGGGCCGAAGTCATTGACGGCCGCAGCCCTTTGCTCCCGGGCAAGTTCCCTACGTATCGCTGTGACGCTTTGACCCCAGCAATGACGTCATTCATGCAAAAAAAAAAAAAAAAAATTTAAGGTGATCTATGTCCCAAATCTCACCTTCAGAGGTAAAACTCGTTTAAAAAGGGGGTGAATAACTTAATTTCTAACAGCAAAGTGAAGGCGGCCTGGTTTTTCGGGCTGGAGAGGTTGGTGTCCCACCAAGATACGTGTTTTAAACGCTGAATCGAGTTGCTTGGGTTTGGTTTTTGCTGTTGTTTATTAAAAAAAAAGGGTAGTTTTTCTCCATTGGAGCCTGTGCAGGACTCACCCGGCCATTTCCGCTCTGGAGGTTGCCACGGCCAATGCCGAGTCGGTGCCACATCCAACGCCAACGCCAACGGAGATGTCTGTAAACCACAGAGGAACCCAGGGCTTTGTCTCTATGCTCAAATTCTTGGTTTTTTCACGATTTTAAAAGCCAACCCCACCTTTGCTTTTCCACAGGCCTCAGCGCGTGATCTTTTTTCCCCCCTTTTGTGGCTGTCGCAGCTCAAATGATTCAATAATTCCTTGCCCGGACGCGGGGCTGAGAGGTCGTTCAGAGGCGGAGATGAACGGGTGGCGAACAGGAGATGGGGTTTTCTGGCGGGTGCGTGTTATTATGGGATTTATTGATCTGAAAAGCTGCTTTTGTTTTGGCCCAGAGCCTCTGCGTCCTGCGCGGCTGCTGCTGGAGCCCCCGGAGCGACGCCAGCGGGCCCTGGTGCTTTTTTTCTTCCGACCACGGGTACAGAGTGGATGGGGGGCTGCGGACGACTCAGGAGGGTGAGTGGGCGCCGAGGCTCCTCGAATTCGGTGCACGCGGGTTTCCATTTCAATAGAATTTATTTATTTTTATTTTATT